AACAATCCTTGCTAGGCACACACCAGTGATTTTGGTCTCATTAGCAATATTCTTCTTTGAATTCCCACCCTTAGCATTCTTACAAAACTTGTTCTCATCTTCTAGGCTATGTATTTGGGCCTAGGACTTGAATTAGTCCTCCTGAAGGCCTCTTGTCTCTTTTTCACTTGAGTTGACTTGATCACTAAAGTACAGCACCTTATCCATTTGCTTGAAGAATTGCACAAACTACTGACCATATACAATCTCGAATATCCTCATAGTAATCTTCATCCACCACACACTTAGAGATTTCCTTGTCCTTGTCATGTACTTCCGTGGTAGGACTCGCTACAACTACCTTCGTGGAAGTTTCTCTATGGTGGAGAGGCGAGACGTCCTCTAGTGGTCGTAAAGTTATATTCATCATCTCGAGAAGAGAAGAGTCATCTCCCAAGGTCGACTCAGTTTCACGATCATGCCACTTGGCTTTCATAGCCCTCCAAATTTCACTGTGCAAACCACACTTCATTTTTTGTACGCTTTCCGATACAACATGTACAAATGCTTGACATTCAAAGCCTTGCAAACCGTACCCCTTTTTGTCAACTTCTTTTCGAGAGTCCCTTCCCCTTATTTCTCTTCCTTTCGTAGGAGTGCTACGTCTACTAGGTATTCCTTTTGGCCCTGTGCACAAAACATTACCAGTCTTGAAATATTTTTTGAACTTCTTTGCCATCCCAGGTCCTCCTTGCAAAATTGGGGTGAACCGGATTTACCTCCTCGATTATTTGAGCACAAGGCCATGCCCATAGCTTACTTTAAGCATGGAAGGATCTTCTCAAAGGTCAGGATACACACCACTAGGTCTTCTACAGACACCAAGTCTGTATTGACACTTGTCTCCATGGATGAGACTTTTACACGAAATCTCCCGACTAGAGATATCAAGATTTTTGACTTGATGGCCACATTGTCAACCCTTGATACCTAATGCAAATAATTAAATAACAGTGTCATGAAATTTAGTTGGAAATTCACTAAATGTTTCATCATCTTGTATCCTCAAACTCCCAAATTGAGAGGTGTACCGTTGGGGCCGTGACTTCTCCGCCAAGGAAGTCCCTCCGGGGGAAATAACCAGTTTCCCGCATGCCTTATTTGATGCTTTGTAATTAGTGATCCTTCGGAACTCATTTGGTGTTGCAGCATTGAATATCGCATTCAACCCTTTTTAGTTGCACGCCTTGGATTCATTCTCACTTTTAATCCATAGCTTCGACGATTTTACTTCACCACTTTCAACTTGTGTGGTGGCCGTGGAAGGTCTCCAACCCTATTGGAGAGTCAACCACTCTCTCTCATCTATCGATTTGTGAAAATGCTCTCCTATCAACTTTTCATGTTGCAAAGTTCGATCCATCGAAGAGTGGTGGTCGTCCAACTGAACCACTTTCCTTTTAAGAATCCATTCAAAACTAACTAGTAGTAATGAAAGGTTTATCCCCAATAACCCAGAGGGGGGTGAATTCATTTTTCAAGTTCAGCCCAAATTGATTACGAATTAAGACCTATGTCGACCACAATAACCCCTTTCTTACAAATATGAAGCAATGAATGTGAGAAAAGTTTCAGTCACCACAAACCCATTGTACCATGAGGATTGATTTTAATTAATATGCAATTAAATCACTCAGCTCACTCTCACGGGGATCCCAACAAACCCAGACACCCAATTGTACACCTATGGTTGAAAGATTTTCGTACAATCAAATAAACAACCAGACAGCGCGTGTGTGTGCTAACAAATGCAATTTTGTACAATCAAAAGTAAAGACCACTAGCCACTTGTTGACGCAAAAAACCCCCTCTGAAAAAACCTCGAGGAACCTCCCTAAGTTCACCAAGGCAGAATCCACTACTTTCGAAGTCAGCATGCAAGTACTCTAGAATTATACCTCAACCAATACCCTGGTCAGATGCTCTTGTCCCTGCTATGTTTCTCCGCGGAAAGTCCCTCTCCAACGTCTTGTGCAGCTTCACCTGGACCTTTTTGCCCCATGGTTCATCTCGGCCTCGAGCGATTTATGGGAACCCCCAATAATCCTTTCTTGGCACACACCAATGATTTCAGTTTCATTAGCAACATTCTTCTTTGAATTCCCACCCATACCATTCTTAAAATTTTTTGAGCGTGTGTCAACTTGTCGGGGTGATGGGTTGCTGATAAATTTGACAAACAAGGCCTTGGAAGAAGTGTGGGTGCGTTCATTTGTGTTGCCTAAACCACGATTGTCACCCAAACTTATTCCCATAGAAAACATCCTACCAATCGTCTCATTGGGTTGGGAATGTCTATTGGACAGCTCATTCGATTCAAGAAGATCTTTATGAAATTTGACACAATTTGACTCAAGATTCTTCTTTGATTAGACGAGCTCTTGCCACACTCTCTAAAGAAGAAAACGCATTTGGTCAGGGAGAAACTTGTTCTCATCTTCTTGGCTACGTATTTGGGCCTTGGACTTGAAGGAGTCCTCTTGAAGGCCACTTGTCTCTTCTTCACTTGAGTTGACTTGACCACTAAAGTAGAGCACCTTATCCATTTGCTTGAAGAATTGCACAAACTATTGACCATATACATCTCAAATATCCTCGTAGTAATCTTCATCCTCCGCACACGTGGGGATTTCCTTGTCCTTGTCATGTACCGCCGTGGTAGGACTTGCTACAACTACGTTCGTGGAAGTTTCTCTATGGCGGAGAGGAGAGAGGTCCTCCAGTGGTCGTAAAGTTAAATTCATCGTGCCGAGAAGAGAAGAGTCATCTCCCAAGGTCAACTCACTTTCACGATCGTGCCACTTGGCTTTCATAGCCCTCCAAATTTCACTGTGCAAATCACTCTTCTTTTNATATCAAGATTTTTGACTTGATGGCCACATTGTCAACCCTTGATACCTAATGCAAATAATTAAATAACAGTGTCATGAAATTTAGTTGGAAATTCACTAAATGTTTCATCATCTTGTATCCTCAAACTCCCANTTATGTGCGCTTTTCAATACACCATGTACAAATCCTTGACATTCAAAGCATTGCAAACCTTCCCCCATTTGGTCAACTTCTTTTTGAGAGTCCCTTCCCCTTATTTCTCTTCATTCCGTAGGAGGGCTACGTCTACTAGGCATTCCTTTCGGCCCTGTGCACACAACATAACCAGTCTTGAAATATTTTTTATACTTCTCTGCCCTCCCAAGTCCACCTCGCAAAGTTGGGGTGAACCGGATTTACCTCCTCCTTGATTATTTGAGCTCAAGGTCGTGCCCTTAGTATACTTGAAGCATGCAAGGATCATCGCAAAGGTCAGGATACACACCACTAGGTCTTCTACCAANGGGTGAACCGGATTTACCTCCTCCTTGATTATTTGAGCTCAAGGTCGTGCCCTTAGCTTACTTGAAGCATGGAAGGATCATCTCAAAGGTCAGGATACACACCACTAGGTCTTCTACCAACACCAAGTCTGTGTTGAGACTTGTCTCCAAGGATGAGACCTTTACACGAAATCTCCCCGTTATAGATATCAAGATTTTCCACTTGTTAGCCACATTGTCAACCCTTGATACCTAATGCAAATAATTAAATTACAGTTTCTTGCAATTTATTTGGAAATTCACCAATTGTTTCATCATCTTGTATCCTTAAACTCTTGAACTGAGAGGTGTACAGCTGGAGTCGAGACATCTCCGGCAAGGTAGTCCCTCTGTGGGAAACAACCAGTTTCCCACATGCCTTATTTGATGTTTTGCAATTAGCGATCCTTTGGAAGTAATTTGGCGTCGCGGCATTGAATATCGCATTAAAGCCTTTTTAGTTTCACATCGTGGATTTATTCTAATTTTTAATCCATAGCTTCGACGATTTTACTTCACCACTATCAACTTATGTGGTGGTCGTGGAAGGCCTCCAATCCTCTTGGAGAGTCAACCACACTCTCTCATCTATCGATTTATGAAAATGCTCTCCTACCAACTTTTCATTTTGCAAAGTTTGATCCACCGAAGAGTGGTGGTTGTCCAATTGAACCACTTTCCTTTTGAGAACCCATTCAAAACTAACTAGTAGTAATGACAGGTTTCTCCACAATAACCCAGAGCGGGGTGAATTCATTTTTGAAGTTAAGCCCAAATTGATTACGAATTATAACCTATGTCGACCATAATTACCCCTTTATTACAAATATGAAGCAATGAATGTGAGAAATCGTTCAGTCACCGCAAACGCTTTGTACCATGAGGATTGATTTTAATTAATATGCAATTAAATCACTCCGCTCACTCTCACAGCGATCCCAACAAACCCATAATTCCAATTGTACACCTATGGTTGAAAGATTTATGTACAATCAAATAAACAACCACACAGTGCGTGTGTGTGCTAACAAATGCAAGTGTGTCCAATAGAAAGTAAAGACCCCAAGCCACTTGGTGACGCGAAAAACCCCATCTGAAAATACCTTGGAAAACCTCCCTAAGTTCGCCTAGGTAGAATCCACTACTTTCGAAGTCGGAATGCAAGTACTTGAGAATTATACCTCAACCAATACCCTGGTTAGATGCTCTTGTCCCTGCTATGTTTCTCCGTGGAAAGTCCCTCTCCGACGTCTTGTGCAGCTTCACTTGGTCCTCTTTGCCCAACGGATCATCTCGGCCTCGAGCGATTATGGGCACCACCAACAATCCTTGCTAGGCACACACCAGTGATTTCGGTTTCATTAGCAACATTCTTCTTTGAATTCCCACCCTTACCATTCTTAAAAAATTTTGAGCATCTGCAAACTTGTCGGGGTGATGGGTTGCTGATACATTTGACAAACACGGCCATGGAAGATGTGTGGGTGCGTTCATTTGTGTTGCCTAAACCACAGTTGTCACCCAAACATATTACCATTGAAAACATCCTACCAAATGTCTCACTCGGTTGGGAATGTCTATTGGAGAGCTCACTCGATTCACGAAGATCTTTATCAAACTTGACCCATTTTGACTCAAGATTCTTCTTAGATTTGACGAGCTCTTGCCACTCTCTCAAAAGAAGAAAACGCATTCGGTCAGGGAGAAACTTGTTCTCATCTTCTAGGCTACGAATTTGGCCCTTGGACTTGAAAGAGTCCTCTTGAAGGCCTCTTGTCTCTTCTTCACTTGAGTTGACTTGATCACTAAAGTAGAGCACCTTACCCAGTTGCTTGAAGAATTGCACAAACAATTGACCATATACACCTCGAATATCCTCATAGTAATCTTCATCCTCCGCACACGTGGGGATTTCCTTGTCCTTGTCATGTACCGCCATGGTTGGACTTGCTACAACTACGTTCGTGGAAGTTTCTATATGGTCGTGAGGAGAGAGGTCCTCCAATGGTCGTAAAGTTAAATTCATCGTGCCAAGAAGAGAACAGTCTTCTCCCAAGGTCGACTCACTTACACGATCGTGCCACTTGGCTTTCACAGCCCTCAAAATTTCACTGTGCAAACCACTCTTCTTTTTATGTGCGCTTTCCGATACACCATGTACAAATCCTTGACATTCAAAGAATTGCAAACCTTCCCCCTTTTGGCCAACTTCTTTTCGAGAGTCCCTTCCCCTTATTTCTCTTCCTTCTGTTGGAGTGCTACGTGTACTAGTCNCACTCTTCGTTTTATGTGCGCTTTCCGATACACCATTTACAAATCCTTGACATTCAAAGAATTGCAAACCTTCCCCCTTTTGGCCAACTTCTTTTCGAGAGTCCCTTCCCCTTATTTCTCTTCATTCCGTTGGAGTGCTACGTGTACTAGGCATTCCTTTAGGCACTGTGCACACAACATTACCAGTCTTGAAATACTTTTTACACTTCTCTGCCATCCCAAGTCCTCCTCGCAAAATCGGGGTGAACCGGATTTACCTCCACCTTGATTATTTGAGCTCATGGCCGTGCCCTTTGCTTACTTGAAGCATGGAAGGATCATCTCAAATGTCAGGATACACACCGCCAGGTCTTCTACCGACACCAAGTATGTGTTGACACTTGTCTCCTTGGATGAGACCTTTACACGAAATCTCCCGATTAGGGATATCAACAATTTCCACTTAATGGCCACATTGTCAACCCTTGATACCTAATGCAAATAATTAAATTACAGTGTCTGGCAATTTATTTGGAAATTCACTAAATGTTTCATCATCCTGTATCCTCAAACNGCAATTTATTTGGAAATTCACTAAATGTTTCATCATCTTGTATCCTCAAACTCTCGAACTGAGAGGTGTACCGTTGGAGTGGAGACATCTCTGCCAAGGTTGTCCCTCCGTGGGAAACAACCAGTTTCCCGCACGCTTTATTTGATGTTTTGCAATTAGCGATCCTTCGGAACTCATTTGGTGTCGTGGCATTGAATATCGCATTCAAGCCTTTTGAGTTTCACGCGCGTGGATTCATTCTCATTTTTAATCCATAGCTTCGACGATTTTACTTCNGGAAGATGTGTGGGTGCGTTCATTTGTGTTGCCTAAACCACAGTTGTCACCCAAACGTATTACCGTTGAAAACATCCTACCAAATGTCTCACTCGGTTGGGAATGTCTATTGGAGAGCTCACTCGATTCACGAAGATCTTTATCAAATTNACACCACTTTCAACTTGTGTGGTGGTCCTGGAAGGCCTCCAACCCTCTTGGAGAGTCAACCACACTCTCTCATCTATCGATTTATGAAAACGCTCTCCTACCAACTATTCATTTTCCAAAGTTCGATCCATCGAAGAGTGGTAGTCGTCCAATTGAACCACTTTCCTTTTGAGAACCCATTCAAAACTAACAAGTAGTGATGACAGGTTTCTCCACAATAACCCAGCGCGGGGTGAATTCATTTTTCAAGTTCAGACCAAATTAATTACGAATTAAAACCTAAGTTGACCACAATTACCCCTTTCTTACAAATATGAAGCAATGAATGTGAGAAACCGTTCAGTCACCGCAAACCGTTTGTACCATGAGGATAGATTTTAATTAATATGCAATTAAATCACTCAGCTCACTCTCACGGCGATCGCAACAAACCCATAAACCCAATTGTACACCTATGGTTGAAAGATTTCTGTACAATCAAATAAACAACCACAAAGTGCGTGTGTGTGCTAACAAATGCAAGTGTGTCCAATAGAAAGTAAAGACCCCTAGCCATTTGTTGAAGCGAAAAACCCCCTCTGAAAAAACCTCGCTGAACCTCCCAAAGTTCACCAAGGCAGAATCCACTACTTTCGAAGTCAGCATGCAAGTACCCGGGAAATATTCCTCAACCAATACCCTGGTCAGACGCTCTTGTCCCTACGATGTTTCTCCGTGGAATGTCCCTCTTCAACGTCTTATGCAGCTTCACTTGGACCTCTTTGCCAAACAGTTCATCTCGTCCTCGAGCGATTATAGGCACCCCCCAACAATCCTTGCTAGGCACACATCAGTGATTTCGGTTTCATTAGCAACATTCTTCNTCTCGTCCTCGAGCGATTATAGGCACCCCCCAACAATCCTTGCTAGGCACACATCAGTGATTTTGGTTTCATTAGCAACATTCTTCTTTGAATTCCCACCCTTAGCATTCTTAAAAAATTTTGAGCATGTGCCAACTTGTTGGGGTGATGGGTTGGTGATACACTTGGAAAACACGGCCTTGGAAGAAGTCTGGGTGCGTTCATTTGTGTTGCCTAAACCACGGTTGTAACCCATACGTACTNCACGGCCTTGGAAGAAGTCTGGGTGCGTTCATTTGTGTTGCCTAAACCACGGTTGTCACCCATACGTATTNATACACTTGGAAAACACGGCCTTGGAAGAAGTCTGGGTGCGTTCATTTGTGTTGCCTAAACCACGGTTGTAACCCATACGTACTCCCATAGAAAACATCCTACCAAATGTCTCATTCGGTTGGGGATGTCTATTGGAGAGCTCATTCGATTCACGAAAATCTTTATCAAGTTTGACACATTTTGACTCAAGATTCTTCTCAGATTGAACGTGCTCTTGCCACTCTCTCTAAAGAAAATTGCACAAACTACTGACCATATACATCTTGAATATCCTCATAGTAATCTTCATCCTCCACACAAGTGGGGATTTCCTTGCCCTTGTCATGTACCTCCGTGGTAGGACTTGCTACAACTACATTCGTGGAAGTTTCTCTATTGGGGAGAGGAGAGACGTCCTCTAGTGGCCGTAAAGTTATATTCATCATCTCAAGAAGAGAAGAGCCATCTCCCAAGGTCGACTCACTTTCACAATATTGCCACTTGGCTTTCATAGCCCTCCAAATTTCACTGTGCAAACCACTCTTCTCTTTATGTGTGCTTTCCGATAAAACGTATCCAAATCCTTGACATTTAAAGCATTGCAAACCTTGCCCCTTTTTCTCAACTTCTTTTCGAGTGTCCCTTCCCCTTGTTTCTTTTCCTTCCGTAGGAGTGCTATGTCTACTAGGCATTCCTTTCGGCCCGTGGACACCATATTAGCAGTCTTGAAATATTTTTTGAACTTCTCTACCATCCTAGGTCCTCCTCGCAAAATTGGTGTGACCCGAATTTACCTCCTCCATGATTATTTGAGCTCAAGGCCGTGGCCTTAGCTTACTTTAAGGATGGAAAGATCATCTAATAGGTCAGGATACACACCACTAGGTCTTTTATCGACACCAAGTCTATGTTGACAGTTGTCTCAAAGGATGAGACCTTTACACGAAATCTCCCGGTTAGAGATGTCAAGATTTTCCACTTGATGGCTGCATTGTCAACCTTGATACCTAGTGCAAATAATTTAATTATAGTGTCATGCAATTTAGTAGGAAATTCACTAAATGTTTCATCATCTTGTATCCTCATACTCGAACTGAGAGGTCTACCTCCGGAGTCAAGACATCTCCACCAAGGAAGTCCCTCTGTGGGAAACGACCAGTTTCTCGCACGCCTCATTTGATGTTTTGCAATTAGCGATCCTTCGGAACTCATTTGGGGTCGCAGCATTGAATATCGCATTCTAGCCTTTTAAGTTTCACGTCGTGGACTCATTCTCATTTTTAATCCATAGCTTCAGCGATTTTAGTTCAACCACCACTTCACCACTTTCAACTTGTGTGGTGGTCGTGGAAGACCTCCAACCCTCTTGGAGAGTCAACCACACTCTCTCATCAATCGATTTATGAAAATGCTCTCCTACCAGCTTTCCATTTTGCAAAGTTCGATCCATCGAAGAGTGGTGGTCGTCCAAATGAACCACTTTCCTTTTGAGAACCCATTCAAAACTAACTAGTAGTAATGATAG